TCAATTAATAATCCCATAATTGATATTTTTCTTTATTCTTATCACTTGTCTATATGATATTACACAGATGAAGTAAGGAGAAATTCTGTCTTGGTCACTCATGGCAGTTAAAGGGTTAAAATGTATTGTTATCTTTCTTTAGGCAAAGGTGCACTACTTGTGCAGTGGTCATCCTCATGTTGTATCGGTAATAGATGTCTATGCTGTCAGCTTTAAATTTCCAGGAGAAATGAGACCTGTGTAAGTATGCAAGATTGGTGATCACGTGGAATAATTTGTAATTTGAATTCCTGTGTTATAGTTCTGTGGTGAAGCATCAAGAGTAATGATTGGATGGTCTTGATTGCATATAAATTTTCTTTTTGGTAGTTTGCTATTGTCAATGAGTAAAAGAGCATCATCAGAAACTTAGCATCTTTATTTTGGTGTAAATCCATGTTGTATGTAGGATGACTGTCACTTAAATCTTGTTCAATGGCCCAGTGTCCATAAGTCTGAATTCACTTTGCTTTAATGATTGTTTTTATAGTTCTGCATGACTTTCATGAGATTGTAACTAGCAGCACATTTTATCTTCTGTTTGACCTATGCCATGTTAAAGCCCTAGCTTTGGCACCTCTCAATATAAAATCAAAAGAAACTGTGTATGCTCATCATGTGTCATTAAATGAAACACACCATGTTTTGGAAGGAAGAAGATATTTATTTCCAATGTGCTTTTCAGTGACTAAGATAAGATCCTTTCCCCAGTTTTGTAATACATATTGATACTGCTTGAGGATCAGAGTCTGCAATCTCCAGTTGTTTGAGATCATTCAAAGCCATTTTTGCCAAAGGAAATGATGGTAACAAGCTCTTCTTTGATTAGAGAGAGCAAAATTAAAGTCTTTGTTTTGTTTTTCTATTTAAGTTCACTCTGTTTATTTTAGTCCTAGGATTTTGATGGTTATGGAGTTGATGGAGGGAGGTGAACTGTTTGAGCTTGTTAGAACAAAAAGACGTTTCACTGAAAATGAGGCTGTTAATTTTACCAAACAGGTGAAGCTAACTCAATTTCAGCTGCTTCTAAAGAGGAGGAATTCCTGATCATGTGTTCATGCTACGTATTTTATATCTTACATTTTCTGTTGTCTTGTAAGTTTGAAAAGATGTGAAGTCAAAAGTGAACCAAACATATTTTGTATTGTTATGATAAAAATTATGAAAGGGCAAGTATAAAGTTGAGTGTTTCCTATTGAGGACATGTATGATTGTTTTTACTTTTGTTTAGATTGCATTAGCAGTTTACCACTGTCATTCATTTAATGTAGCGCATAGAGATCTAAAACCAGAGAACTTGCTTCTTCTTGACAAGACTGAGGTAATGCTGTTGTGGGTTTACCCAACAATTTACTTTTAAAAAAAGTTGGCCTGAGAACTCTAATTCTCAAAAAATTACTGATATTGGTCTAAGGCAGTAATCATTTAGCAACACATGATTTTATTCAACCCTTTAAACCCTAAGAGTGACCAGCATCTAATTTCTCCATACAGTAATACTGCTGAATCATTCAATAAGACCATGAGAATATAGGAAATGATTGCCACCCAAGAAGCTCTGATTGTTAAACCAGTTCTCCTTGTTAGTACCAAAGGAAATGTGTAGAGAAGAGTCAGGAGAATATAGATACTGATGTTTAGGGTGTAAAGGGTTTAAGAGAGTGTTTGTTTGTGATAACTTTTGAGCAAAAGGATTCCTTCTTCCTGAAACAAAAATCTAAATTGGGAAGATGTTCTACTGCTTGAGGCTCAGTACCAAGGGTACTGTAGTGATGAAATCAATAGCTGGAAGCTGTGAAAAGGAAGGACTCTCTAAGAGACTTTTTTGCCTGAAGAACAATATGTGTTGCTCAAAGTAGCCACTTAACAAGTGTACATTTCCATTTATGCCTTTTTCTTGTGTGAGGTGGTAAATGAGATATTACTCAAAGTTTATAGTTGTGTTTTCTGTTGTTCTTTACCCAGAAAGTAGTCATCAAGCTTGCTGATTTTGGTTTTGCTAAGATTGATCGTGGAGATCTTGTTACACCACAATTTACACCCTATTATGTGTCTCCTCAGGTATTGCACTTATGCTAAATTTTAATATTTTTAATACAATTATACAAAAATGGTTGAATGTAGAATGTTATTAAGCAATAAGAAGGCTGCTCATCATTTATTTTCTTTTAATGCCAATGAGTGTGTCTTTCAAAACTATAACCTTTTCAGGTTGTCTTTGGTAACACTTTTCAAAAAAATCTTGAACCTTTAAAGAGGTGCTAGCAGGAATTGCTATTAGTTTGTAAATAGTTTGTTTCACTTTAATTGATTACCAACAAAATCCTTTGAAGTGGTTGTGATTTTTACTTTCTGTAAAAAGTGAGTTTTGTGTAAAATGATTGTTTTTTAGGTTCTGGAAGCACAAAGAATTCACCGTGCTCAGAAGTCAGGGAGATTTCCATTTTTATCGAAACCTTACACATATGACAAGGTAATGTATGCTGTTTCCGGACGGGAAATCATCCTCAACAGACACATGAATGAACTGCAAAAACAGATTATACTATTACTATCATGGATATATTCTGTTTTTTATGCTCTGCAAATACTTATAGTCACTGTTGTGGAAATCATGCTATGCGTTATTTTGTTTTAGTTGAAAGCTGAAATACAGCTAATAAAAAAGAAAATAGCCAATTGAAATGTTAGGTATTTTTCAATATCTATATCACTCATCAGCGTAATTCTTAAAACACTGTTATTCTGACAGCTTCTGCAAGCCTCCCCCTCCTCCACCCACTGCCCCTATATTTCCTCGACTAACTCAGTTTCTTGCCGTTTTGTGTCTGTAGAGCTGTGACATGTGGTCATTAGGCGTTGTTATCTACATCATGTTGTGTGGATATCCACCCTTTTATTCCGAGGTACCTCGTAAGCAATTGTCGCAGGGAATGAGGCGTAGGATTATGGCTGGGGAGTATGACTACCCCGACAAGGAGTGGTCAAAGATTTCATCAGATGCAAAGGATGTCATTGCCAGGTAAATACTAGGAATTCCGTGCTTTTAGATTGAGTTGTTCTATTTGAGTTACTTTGAGATCCAGACAAAAAAATATTGAGCTCGAGGCCATGACGTACAAGCCGAGCGCAGCAAGGAGTGTGCGTCATGAACGAGAGCCAAATATTTTCCAACCAAACTCAGTCAATAAGTATTTATCCTACGGTTACTAAATCTTTAAAAACTTTGACATTATGCTTCACCCTAAATAGGATTCAATTACATACGCAAGAAAGGCGCGCGTTGGATAACTGCAGAAAATTTCAATTTTTCTTTTTTTTTTTCGATTAGTTTGAACAAGAAACCCATTATTCATCGACACAACTCGTTTTCTCAACAGTTAGCATTCACGTTCTCACCGAGAAAAGCAAAGCTGTGTGGGCGGGGCCGGAGGACTTTTTCTTAACCGGCCTAATCTAACCCGCCCGGCCCTACACACGACACCATTCGTTATGATTTTCATTATGGAGTACGTGAGCGGGCCTGTATGGGTTAAGTACGTGAGCGGGCCTGTACGGGTTATATGAAATTAATGACCGCTTCCTATTCCAGTCAGTCTTATTTCTATTTTGTTTTCTACAGCCTATTGCGAGTTGAACCTGCTCAGAGACTGACAGTTACAGACCTGCTTGAGCACCAGTGGCTTAATGAAGGAACTGTTTCGGATGTTCCACTTGATTCACCTTCAGTTATCGTTGCAGATGAGGTTTGTCGCCTTTACAGAGTTTGAAACTGTAATTAGTCACCCATCGTGGTCTACCAGATGCACGAAATCTGGTTGGTTCCTTCACGTTAGCTAATTAATTATATCACGTGCTTGAATTTCTATCACGCGATTGTTGGAGAGGGCCTGGTGAAGCCAAATCTACCCAGGAGAATAAAAGGGTGCCTATGAATTGTCAGAGCTACCTGACGAAATGACGACGGTGGGGGAGAGGAAGTTACCTACGATAGACTATTGTACCATCCAGGGAGGTGAAGCAATAATTTTACTCGCTTCATGCACCGTCAACCGGACCAAGGTCTGGCTGTGTGTGTCTCTGGGTCTTTTGGTTATCCTTGGCTGTTGTGATTTTTCAGGAAGCATTTCGGGAGGCCATGCATGCGCATTCGGCTCAGCTTACGAAGATGAGGTTACCGGACCGCACAGTGGTACTGAAGGCTGTGACGAAGGCCAAGAACCCGATATTGATGAAGAGAAAGAACATGTTTAATCTCGGGTGAGAATGATCCGGCGCCCACTGATACTCGTGAACGTTGTGTCTCATGCCTTCCAAGCATTTGCTAATAATTTAGACAGTTGAAGCGGAATATGCTGAGAAGAACGTTTATGTTTATAAGTGTTCCTAGTACTGTTTTGCTCCACTGCATTGTGTCTTTAGTATAGAAAACCCGCGCCACCCTCTCAGCCAATCAGATGCAAAACTTAAAACCAAACGCGACTTGTTCATTCCCGTTTTCCCGCGCTTGAGGTCGTTCCCATACATTTCCTTTCATTTCTCATTGGCTCGTTGCGGTGCTAACCTTCGTTCTGGTTTGATGTGGTGATAACCTTTGTCCCGACTTGCAGTAATAGTTAGTTTGGTTGCAATTTTACAACACTCATCGAAAGGCCCTCCATCACTAATAACTGAATAATCTTTTGTTTTTTTCTCGTTTTTTCAGTTCGCTCTTCACCAGAAACAACGGGGCATCCGCATCGTCCACAGATGTTGATCGAACAAAAAACGATGCTTCTATCAAGTCCCTGAGAGACATCATAGCATTCTGTATGCTTCCTCCTCAGCCACCTGATGGCGTTACAGGTTGGTAGAGGAAATCTCATTTGAAGTGAACAAACGGCTAGCGTCCGCTTCTGTTCTTCCCCCATGGGGGAGGGTGTGGAGATTTGTGTCGCCGCTCGCAGCAAAACAATTGAGATGTTTTCATCTTAAAGTGTATGGGATAGTATAACAGGGTAATTTAGCATTGTCAGCTGAGTTGGTAACGTAAATTGGCCACCGTAAAGAGTTTCAAAGCTGACAATACGAGCGTTAGCCCTTCGTCAGAGCAAATGGAGGAATTGTGGGTCGTGTGTGTGTGTTAAGATGTAGAAAATGGAGCTACGCTATTGATGGGAATATGGAGACGAGAAAACAAGAATGGATTAGTTGAATGAAAAGTGCTGGTTGATACCGCGGGTATCAAGAGTGCTGATTTGAAAGAGTTCTAGAGTTTTGCGGCTTTAGCGGTTTGGAAAGGGCTAACGCTCGAAACGTCATCTTTGAAACTCTTTACAGTGGCCAATTTACGTCATCAATTCAGTTGATAATACTAAATTACCCTGTTTTACCTGCTAAGTCTGAGTATTCTCATTAACGGTTTGCTGGAAAATGAATAGATATTATAGGATGGAGTTACCTGTTAATCACTTCTGAGAGTCGAAGGGTTGATAGATAGCTCACGTGTGTATAAAGGTGCACGAGTTATTGGAATGTACTCTTTTCTGGCATCAAATGTATATTTTGTGTCGGTAGAACTCATAGCGGTTGAAAAAAGGGCTACTTAGCAAGATCCACGTTTGCGTATAGTTGTTGTCGCGAGGTAGATCTTTGTTTGACAGGCTCTGCATCACAGGAAAAAGCCTGCAAGACTTACAGGTTCGATTGACGTTTATGTTTTAGCTGCCAAATGACCTTGATCTTTCAGAACTTGTGGTGAATTACAAACGGTAATATGTGTATTTTTTGTGTGTGTGTTCACTGCAAAGTCTGCACATGCGTCATATCTTAGAGCTTTCCTCTAACTTTTAGTTTTATTGGTACACAGAAACTTCCCAAGGTCCAAGTCCTGAAGAAGAACTGCAAAGACTGGTTTCTCTTGCTTTAGAACAGAACCCAAAATCCCAGCGACTCAAAGAAGCTCTCGTCAAGCAGTCTTGGGATGGTACTGTTACTTCTGTTCATTTGCAGACTGTTAATGGCGATTTCAGTTGTGAATATTGTTTTCTTTGTTTTATTGCTTTTCGCAGGAGAGAAGTTCGCTGGATCAGTGGACAGGCGCATGCTAGCCAAAGACATTAGTGAAATCGTAAAGAAAATGTGACGTGTTGGAGAAACTGCTCTCAGAGTATATATAACATCACGTATTCAGCTACTAATGAAGTCTTTGTGAAGGCGTTGAAGGATTTTCCGTTTTGGACCGTTGCCGAGAGCGAATTCGACTCTCTACACACAAAGCGGCAAAGTGAGATGATCCAATCAGAACCAACAGAAGAGCGTAGAATGCTTTTGGCATGAGTGGGTGGATATATACACGGCCTTCGAATGGGCGCGAAAATTCGCGCGCAAAATCAAGATCCGTTTCGTTTTTGCCAGTGCGCATGATTGGTTGAGCCTTTTCTGGTCGAACCAGTGGCTCAAATACATCGCCACATAAATTTATAGCTTTGAAAATTTACGAACAATTTAAAGAATTTTGCCTTATTACGTTATGTTTTACATGAAAATTCTTCTTTAATTCAGTCTAGTAGTTGGTTAGGGATAACAGATTCTCCTTACAATTTAAGGTTACTTTCTTCACATAACACAATATTCTTAGAACCAGCCAGATGAGAGAAGTGCGGTCATCAGTTGAGAGTGAAATTATTAATTATTGGATTAGCGTCTTCAATTAATTTCCATGTGATTCTTTGTGATCACTTAGATGGTTTGGTCTGAAGAAATGAATTCCCACGCTTTGATTTGCACTGCACTTGAGGGATCGGATGTTAGCTCTTCAGAATTAGAAAGGTAGGCAGACGTGTTGATAGCTAGATTCCAGCTGTAACGAGGTGTGTATTAAGCTAGACAAGGAAAGCAAGGGAAAAGGTGTCGCACACATCGCTCTTGCGATGGGAAAGATCACTCTTAACAGTTTTATTCTTTGAACTCTAGAAAAGCCAAACTTTTACCGGCCCTTCGTGATATTTTTCAGACAGTGGCATCGTTTTTATAGCATCAATGCCGGCTTCTTCCGGGTGATTCCTATCATATCTTCGTTGAATGATAATGAGTATATTTATCAGACAAAGAATTTCTGTATACGTTATATATATGTATACTAAAATTATTTTTATCTTCCGAGAAAATTGGAATAGGAAATACCAAAATAAAGCGCTAATATATTTTGATGAGGTTGAAGTTTAAGACAAGCTCTCCCGTCGTTCTAGAAGTCACGGTTCTTTAACCCTCTTGAGAGTGGCTGGCTTCAAAGCTAATTTCTCCTGACAGTTTCACCCTTGAATCAAATATAAAGGTCATGAGAAGAGAGGATATGATCAACGAGATTGCTCCAGATTGTGAAAAAAAATTCTCTTTTTCATCATCTTAGGAAATGCATATAGATAACAGTAAAGAGGAAATGTATACTAATTCTAGTTCAGGGTGTAAGGGGGTAAATTTCTAAAGAAACTGTGGTGCTGCGTTGGTGAGAGAGTATAGCAGGTAATTTAGTGTTAACAACTGGGTTGAAAACGTAAATTAGCCACCGTAAAGGGTAAAAAAGCTGGCGTTTCGAGCGTTAGCCCTTCGTCAGAGCGATTGGATCAGGGTGTAAAGGGTTGAGAACACTTTCGATTCTTTCGTCCCTTTCAGACAATTTTCCCTTCATGGCAACTCCATTGCGTCACTTCCTTTCCTATGACTGAAACTTGATTTATCAGTAAGAATTGACTTTTAGAACCAAAACGCTTTTCTGTAATCTTACTCGGGCAGAGGTACTCTAATTATTTCTTGGTTAGAAACTCGTCTTATTTGTACAAAACAAAGCAAGGAGAAGGCACATGCTTTGACATAACCGCATTCATTGCTCGGGAAGGCAACGAAGTTCCTTTCCTTGTGTACCTTACTAGAGAGACATTCTTCCACTAATCGCTTCCGCAAAATCGCAAAGTTCTTCCACTAATCGCAAAGTGTGTCTGAATGCACGGAGAAAAATTGTCTCTAATATCCTTGAGTCTATCATAGTACCTTCATACCTGAGATTGATATAAAAAATGCACGATTATTCCTTTCTTTTTTCTTTTTTTTTTTGTTTTTTTTTCTATTTTATCACATCGATAACATTGCTCCCACGGGATAAAATTTCGTGACATGATGAAAAGTTCTATTAAGCTTCCTTTATACCATTTCGGGATGTAATCCAATTATTCGTAAAACCGATAATTTACATCACGACCATAGCATTACAGGATTTTCCGAAACTCCCTGAAGACCGACGAAAGAGAGGAGACAGAAAAACAACGGCGGTCATACCGCACAGTCATTTATTTAATTGATGGTCAATGACCAAGCCGTCTGATAATGTAAAATTTATTTTGACAGTTCCCTCCCAATAGTATTAGCCCTTTAATCTCTAAGAGTGACTAGCATCTAATTTCTCCTTACAATATCACCCTTGAATCACACATTAAGGTCAAGAGAATATAGGAAATGACCACCAACTAAGGAAGCTCTTGATTGTTAAACAAATTCTCCTTATCAATACCATGGGAAATGTATAGAGAAAAGTAGGGAGAATATCCCTACTGATGTTCATTTCATTTAATTTTATTTTATTTAACCACGGTCAATTCATCAGCCTAAAAAATACATATCACATATGCTAGAATATTTTAAACTCAAACTATATACTATAACACTAGAAGCTGTTTTCCGTGAGTGCCGTGCGTTAGACTTAAAGAATGTCATTGATCTTACGTTTATATACCCCCAGAGACTCTGTGTTCCTTATATCGCATGGTAGACTGTTCCATAATGTGGAGCCATTGTAGCTAAAGCTTTTTCGGTAATAATTAGTGCGCGGTAATGGAACATTGAGCTTATTTTCAGAGTCCCTGAGGTCATAAGCAGAGTCACGCCACGTAAACTTTGAACACAGATACTCTGGAGCTAGCCCGTGCAGACATCTAAACATCATGGTGGCTTTGTGAGGGTGTAAAGGGTTAAGAATCCAGAGTTTGTTATCAGTTTATTTTATCGATTGCCGTAGTGTGGGCAGACCCCCTTGTGTAATATTGAACTCCAACGTCATTTTCACCTCTCCTGTCAAATGCATACAGCCTTCAAAATAGTATACAATACATCTCGATTCATTCATTGAATCATTGGATAATGCAATTCAAGAGTTTCCATTGGCTTAGACGTCATGGGTTATGAGCTATTATACCATGCGCACGCATGAAGACAAGTTTACCCGAAGTTATCCGAGGAGTTTAACTGTAACTGGCATCATCTATGCAAATATGTAGAAATTATTCCACTCGCGTTTGTTGGATATGAGCTGATGATGGTGAACTCGGCCCTACGGGCCTCGTTGGTTATCTACCATCTCATATCCGACGCGCGCTTGTGGAATAATTGTTAAATACTTGCAAAGACGATGCTAGCTACAGTTTTCAGGGCGCGCCTTTGCGGACGGTGTAGTTGATATAAGCATTCAAGTTCATTTGACAATTTTGCGGAATCTATCGAGTGCCTATCGTATTTCGAGTCGTATAGCGTTGAATTTGATCCGAAACTGATAGATATGGTGACTCTTAAAGTAAGGAAACAGCTTAAAATCACATGCAGTTCATAGATCTATAAATCCAGACCACACAGGACGTACCTCTATACCTCGTGTAGATACTGGGCATCATTAGCTAATCGTTAAATTATAACCAAGATAGCTTGACCACCACCCATCTATAAGTGAACCAGTGATGGTGATCTGGAACATTTGTGAGAAGAATTCTCAATCTTCTGGGTGGCTCCCTCATTGCATGGTGCTCGTTTGAGCTCTAAAGATCGTTCTCTGACAGAAGGCATCGTGAAGCTAACGGTCAAACCATCTTTAATTAGCTTAAGTGTAACACCATACGTCTTCAAATATAGAATATTAACGTGGTAATTGTGGTTTTCTATCAGTCGCCTTTCGTTTGAGGGAGTTAGTTACTTCTAAACGCTCCGTTATCTTTGAATTTAAGCAGGGAGATACTAGAATAAGGTCCAAAGCGACATCGAGCTACACATCATTACCCTGTGAATCGTGCTGAATTCCACCAACTCCCGGAATCACAGAAAACTACTCGATCGATTTTCAAAAGACGTTCCGTCTCATCGTTTCAGACCTTGCGGTCAACGATTCCTTTCGAAGGTTTTTGTGGTTAAGCATATTTTGTTAACAACGGAAGCCAAACATTACTTTATTCCGCAATTTACGCATTCTCACATAATAAAAAGGGTTTAGTGGTTGGACATATTTTGTTTGAGAAAGGAAGCGAAACAGTACTTATTCCCCAATTTAAGAATTGATGCGGTAAAGAGTTTCGATGATCAGGCATAATTTGTTTGACAACGGAAGCCACAACGCACTTATTCTGCAATTTGCCCATTCATTGATGATTAAGAAGTAATTTAAAAAAACCACAACTTATACAATTGATTACTCACAAACCAGCGTACAAATTTCCCCCTTCTTCTTATCACACACTTAATATCCTTTATTTCTGGCGACCAAAACTGTATCCCACCGTATTGTTTGCCGGTTGAAATCAATTTGTGCAAATTTAAATTTTTTCAAAAGATTTATGAACCCCCCCCTGACTCTAAGGGCAATTATTTCTGTTAGATCATTCGCGCATTCCTCTGTCAAAAAGCATGCTTGTTCTGTAAACAACCCTCCTTAGTTAAAACAATTCATCGGCTTCCGCGCGGGTTTTATTGAAAATAAGCAAGTTCGTTTTTATTTGCGTATGCTTTCATGATAATTGCATTCAGGGGCAGTTGTTTGCTGTTAAACTGAGATGTTTTCTAGCGTGTTTGCATGTTTTTGTTCTGACTACTCGAATTAACACCCTGTGGCTAGCACGCCACTTCTCTCATTAATATTTCAAGGGTTTTACCAAACATCACCGACTCCCACGGCCTAATATGTTTGTGAAATATTTAATTTATTGGTTGCATGAGACTTATCACGCTTTTTATTTCACATTAGTCCGATGTAAAGCTTTTTTACTTCAGGCTTACTACTAATTCAGTGAAGCATGAAGCAAAGTGATCGCATGATCACTAGATTATTTTTCCCCGTTTTAAAAGTAGATTTTCGGTGAACTGAGCTCTAGCTTCACTTACTTCTCGTCTGGTGCGTGCGTGAATCAGCCTTCAGAAGTCAATATTTTCCTTTTTCGATCAATCAGAGAATATTGGAATGAAACTATTAATTTGGAGTGCATGATTGATCTTTTGCGCGGTGAGCTAGCATGCGTGACCTCTCTATGACCTGAAACGATTATGCCATCAACAATAAGCATTTGATGTTTATTTAGCGCTAAGCTTCGGTATGTGTACCGTCTACAGCGTCGTAATTCAACTAAAGCTGTGTTGATCCTAGAATCTATCGATGGAACTTTTTTAGATTATCACTACAATCGTCACATACGTAAAACTAGGGCATCAATGAAACAAATTTCATTTAATTCTCAAGATCATTGTTTATGTTATACGTTGAAGAACAAGTGAGAGTGATACCTTCGCTATTATCTTAGCGTCTCAACATTCATTTTGTTTCAAAAGATACCCGAAAGAATAGAAGTGTTAAACATACAAAAATATCGCAGCAAGCGCATCTTCAATGTTGACACTTGTTGTGTTAATTGCTTCTTTGCCCTTCTTAGTCTTTGACGTTCAAGTCTAAAAATATGGCAAATATCACACATGTACCTCTAAGGGTGTAGTTGGCAACGACACAAAAAGATCAGTCTGATACGTATTGTTTTAATTGCTGACGACCTCCATGTCCTCTTCGTCGACTGTATCAGAATTTGAACTTCCAACGGAGTTCGGTACACGTTTACGAATCCTCCCATTCATTGTTTCGCTACCTAAGTCCTTAGCCTTGTGACTACTCTTGTGGCGTCCTCGATGCTGCTTGTGCTGTACTAGAGACTCCAACTGATCTGTTAAAACCGCTAACTTGTTGAAGGTAGCATGGTCGTGCTCCAGCGAAAGCATTTCTCGCTCGAGATGTAAGCTTTCGCGCAGCATCGCTGCTTCTTCTTTTAACGCGTCAATTTCGCGTTGAGACTCGCGCTCGCGCCTCTGAAAGAGCGTTTCCAGAGTGATCTTATCCGCCAGTAGTTTGTCGTATCTGTATGCCCATTCTTTAGCACCGTTGGTCTCACTGAGTGACTCGTCTTCTTGGTTGGAAGGCCTTCGTAATTGAAGTTTCCTCTCCAGCTTCGCCACTTGGTCCATCAGTGCTGTAATCTGCTCCTTGTAAAACGTTTCCTTGTTGTTGAACATCTCATCCCGACGTGATCTTTCTAACAACAACTCTTTGATTTCGGTGGACATTTGAGCGATTTTACAATCTTGCAATGCAAGCTGCTCTCTGTAAGTATTTTCCATCACGCCTGTTTCTCTCGCTTTCTCCTCTTTATCGCAAAGCTTCTTCTCCGCACTCTCAAGCTTTTGCCTCAAATCTCTCATGCAATCGTGCGTCGGGATATCGTTTAGATCCAGATCTGTCCCACATCCCCCCGGACACAGAAGTGTTTTCTTTTCGTATCGCCTTATATCTTTCAAAGACAGTTTTCTACCGCATTGCTCCACATTGGCATCTGTGGATTGCAGAGGGCTAATACCTGTTAGCTCTTCTGATCCATCCATGTCCGCGTTTGCTTCTATTTTAGTACAGGCCGTGTTTTTTCGGCTGACTACGAGTTGTGGAACCGCTTTCCGTACCAAATCCGCTTTTCGAAAGAATCACGAATGTTTTTAAATATACCAAAACCGTTAGGTTACGAACCGTCCAGAATATTTGGTCACGACTAGTTGACCTCGAACAAGGAGATCTAAATTAATGTTAAGTCGTTCATAGTATCTGTTTAACGGAGTGTAGCTATATCCTTCTAATGAGGGTAATAATTCCGATTCTATTCCTTTGTGCAGACCAAATTCCAACCTTGCTGCTTCTCAAAATGGCTCCAGCCGCCTGCTTTTCATTAAACTGAACAACACGTTTACTGTAATCGATTATTTTCGCTTTCTCTTTCGAGAGCCTGCTTTTGTGTCGTCTACCACCAATTGATATAGTGCCTCGATCGTTCCCGCCCTCGCACTTCAAGCTGTCTCGTCTTCGAGTTGATGACGAATTTTTAGAAGGGTCTTTGTTCTCGTAGCCTAGTAAAACGGCTTTGCCATGGAAACAGCTTTTCTTGGGACGTGAATCAAGATGCGTTGCTTTAAACGACCAAAACGACGTTCTGTCCAACCGCGCAAACAAAGAGCGGTCTCGATTGGAAATTTAAGACGAAGTGTTGTTCTCTATGACCATAAGGGAATGATAATTTTACATGTCTCGCTGTTGTTTTGACGGAATTGATTGAAGGTCAACGGGTGAAAACTCACGTAATGCAAAGGAATGTTAACACATTGTGTTAGGTAGTCAAAATATGCCATTTACTCGCCGTCATTTTTGCGCAAGATAGAGTTTCATAGAAGGTCCTTGAAACAAAAGCAATCGCTCCGAAATAAAAATAAATCTATTAGGCGTGTCAATTTTGTTTACTGTAAAGGAAAAAACCGCGTGTCTTGCTGAAGAAATCACATGGGCCGATAATAAGTAGAAATATTTGTACTAATCTGGCCTTTTTGGTTGTGTGCAATTTTCACAGTCTTTGTGTTTCTATTCGCCGGAGATTGTTGATTATCGGAGATGTCCGGAGGTTCTCGCTGTGCTTGCATAATGCCTACAAAAGCGGATCTGGAGAATGTCCACCGCCATTTGCTCTAATTACTAGTTATGAAATAGGAAGAGAAAGAAAGAAAGAAAAAAAAAAGGTATCGAATTTCGACAACAAAATATGATTGAGGATTAAACAAATAACTGATGTAGTGGATGCCCTTCCTGTCCCCTTGATAGAGAGATGGGGCCGTACTTTGCAATTGGAAAATTATTTTAACACTCAACAACAGGGATTGCTCGAGTGGTATTTAGTTGATAATATTTGATTTTATTTATCTTTTGTCAGATCTTCATAAGAATGGAACTTCAAAAGTTACCCCGATGAATGATCTCCAATAATTTTTTAGGAGTGCTGCGCAGGCTCGATCCTTTGTTACTTGCGAAGCGATGTCATCGTTGAGCACCAGTTTTTTTCTTTTTTTGTTTAATAACTTAAGTTCAGACGGAATTCATTCCTTAAAGTTAACCAGATATAACATTGATATAAACTTATTTACGCAACATAAGTCGAATAAAAGTAGGTAGATCCTCTCAATTTTATGGCTGGGAGCAAGTGAAGGCGTAAAGTGATTTAACTTAAATGAGAACGTGAGCGTGAGGGGTGAACATGATGGCAGATAGCCAGATATAAAAAGGCCATGAGCTGAGCTCACGTTTTCTTTCTCCTCGCGCTGCAAGCAAATACAACTACTTGCTCGCGAAACCAAGTTAAGGAGTATTTCGGTAGTGAAAGGATTGCGACTATATAACATTGTGCTGCTTCAGATTAAACAAAGAGAACGCGAGGAACAGGTCACGCAAATAATTAAGGCCGGATGGCAGTAGGCGAGAATGAAACATATATTCTCCAATATGACTCTTGCTGCGTTGCACAACTCACCCCAACCCTCTCTCCACCCTCTCTCCACCTCTCTCTGCAGTAGTTGGAACTCGCACAAAACTTGAGCTGGTCCAATTTTACCGGTCGATATATCCCATAGTACTACCATGAAGTCAAGACTCGATGCGTCGTTTTACCACGGATAGGCATCCTCTAAAATTATACTTGCAAGCAAAACAGTGCAGTTTATTATCTCCTTGACATTTCCTCCACAAATACACGTGTGTTTTCCTCCATTGGCGTCCACACGTCGTCTCCTCGATTGAACGGCGGTTTTTGTTGCATCCAGACACGGTACCATTCCACAGGATCCACACGCGCCGCTAATGGATCTCGTACCAAACGATGATAGTTGCGCTCATAATTGCGAAGCGTGGCTTGCACAAAAACCTTTTGTGCCACCATGTCCACAGCGTCTGAGAAAAATCTGATGGAGCAAGGAAACACCATTTAGTATAAGTAAACGATATAAGTTAACTGGAACCTCTACTAGTCTGCAGAGAGAGAAACTTTTTCTTTCTCCAGCCCAAAGTACCTGAACGTTGTTTGATTAACTCATTTGAAACCCGTGCATTTTGTAAAGTTGTAAGACCTGAGAACACGAGACATTCTAGCCTTTTTTGAGGATTCATTCGTGAAACTCTGCTAAGCAGGATTATTTTGAAAGACTTTCAAAACAGAGTGGATTGTGTACCTGTTCAGATGAACACATTCTTGGCATGACGGACCATAAAGGGCAGCGTACTTCATGAATATAGCGTCGACACGCGCCACTAGATCATTATTGTAAGTGCTGAAGTATTCAAGCATGTGCCTTCGCTCCTTCAATTTCTTTTTCCTCTCGGCCTCCTCAGCTGTGCCAAACACAGATGGCATGTTGCTGCAACCCCAACTAGAAATGCGGTTCTGAAGGGAATTAGTCCACTGTCCCAAGTGGCTAAATGCGTTGGAGATCATGACAAGCGGACTGCTACTTGAGTAGTCAAATGGAGCACTGCGCCACGAAGGAATCAGATTCTGGTCCCAACTAACGAAGAATTCATCGCCATCAAGATCACCTCCCGCAGATTCGTCGGCGTGTGGTCGCCTTCCCTTCGTCGGAAACACGATGCAATCGCTGAGATATGCGTACTCTGGTTGGTTCTTGATAAGCTTTAGAACACGGATGTCACCCGGATGATAGCATGGATTTCGCACGACTATGACTTCTTCAGCCCTTTGAAAACCTTCCATCTGCTCCTCGTCAAAGAGAGTGGGTTGAAAAACGCACTGGCCATATTCGAGGGATTGGAAGGGGTCACACACACCGAACACTACTCTCGATTTTGGAACTAAAACCCGCAGTTTACATCTTGAAGTCTGTGTCACACTGGATTCATCTTCATCGGCATTTTCTTTCTGCATCTTGCGAACCTCCTTTGCACGAAGAGCTTTAAGCTGTCTTTGAAGGCGAGGATTCTCCAGTCCAAAGTCATGCAGCCAACCGAGTAATTTTTGCTCTCCTTTGATACATAGATATGACTCGGCAGATTGTCTGGCGCTACAGAGTTCTCGAAGCATGATATGGAAATTATTCTGAAGCTGTCGCAGGTAGCTGTGTTTGACTCCACTGTCGGCCAACAACATCGTAATCTGCTTATTAAGGTAGCCCATGGTGTATGGCCGGGAACACTTTACAACACCAAACGTGGTACAACTCAGGCGCACTCGCTCATCTGGAATGCTAAACTTCTTCATGGACTTGCGGAATTGAACCTGAACACCATCGTTTAACCGAGGATTAAGGACGAGGACGCCTTTAAAACCCTGGTACCTGACTTGTACCACACAAGGTTTGCTTTCAAGGTGACGGTGTACATCTTGAATTTCTTGCGCAAATGAATCTGACATAAAACCGCATCCGTCGGTGAAGATGTATTTTCCGCCCTTAATGTCATCGATGACATCGTATTGGGTGTCTTGCAGAATAGTGCTTTGGTCGAACGACGAGAACAAAAGCCCAATTCTCTTGGCGCGCTTAGCGGTTGTCTTGATTTGAGAAAACTCGCCAAACTGCGCAAGCAGCTCGTAAATGCCTTCATCCGAGTCATTCAATAGAAAACAAGTTCTCTCCTTAAGTTGAGAGTTGGAGTGGCCCAGGAAGCGGTAGATCTCGCCACTAAAAAGAATATTTCTTTTTAAGATGCTTTCCGAGAAGTCTTCGTCTCTGCCTCTTTCAGGACGAAAACCCACTGTCATTAGTCTGTCGACTCCTTGCGGACCTTGCACAGACATCAGGTATTCTAGGAAAAGGTTGCCTCCTCCCACTTTGTTGTACCTCATTGGCGGTCGCACCCGACCGCCGTGTATGTTAAAGTGTTTCACGTATATGGCCTTTTTTAAGTGGTCTTCGGGAGGAGTTGTTATCATCTCGGGTGGTATACAGTAGGGCTCCATCGTGATTGTTTTCTGAAAATTCGGAAAATTTATGTTTAATAGCTACATAGCCTTGTCACTTAAATAAAAAAATAAGTAATATTCCCTGCACTGTTTGGGTTTTGGCGAAATACTGGTCGCGTAATGGTTCATGCACGACTAGAGCTATTTTTATTCTCAACTTTTGAATGAACTCACTAAGAAGCTCTCAAGAATGAAAAAAAATTATATATATATATATA